CCTCCTGGAATAGCTGGGTTTGTGTTCCTGGGATTCATAATGGTGCTTCCACAGAGGGTTTAAAGATAGAGAGGAACTGGTTTTGCAAAATTCCAATTTTAGCTGTATCTCATTTTAAACACCCAGTCAGGAGCACACGAAGAGCTGGCAGTGGTCAGAGGGTGTGCAGGAGAGGATGCCTGGGGAAATGCAGAGAAACAGCAAATGTGTAGTGACTGCTCCCCTGAATATTCCCTCAATATCTTCCAGTTCATGGCTCCAGCACGTCTCATGCTGGAGGCAAGACTTTTGAAGTTAATAGCCTCAGATGGATTTTTTCTTCCATGAATTTGTTATGTGGGGTGATAAAAATCAAATAAATGAGGAAATCACAAAATAAGGGCAAGTATCAGGCTGGAAGAGGATGGGCAGCAGGAGAAAACGCTGACTGATGGGAAGGGGAGGTGGCAGCACATAGCACATGTGGGGAAGGCAAGGCACAATGGAGATGTTTGTATCTGAAAGCAGGAACGGCGCAAAATGCAGGAAGGAAGCAGGACAAGCATAGTGGGACACACTGCCTGTCAGAGGAGTGGCAGGATAACCAAACTCCATCCCAGGCATGTCTCTTACTTCTCCCATAGCTTTGGCAGCACTGTCCCTGTTCCCTGGTGGGGATGTGCTGGCTGGGGCTGGCTCTGCTCACTGACCAAACAGGAGCTCAGGCTGTTTCTGTCTTGCTTTTGACATGCAGTGAGGGCACTGCAGAAGAGCAGCCTGTGGAAAATAACTTTGTCCTGTGAGGTGGTTGATTCCCTTGAAATTGTCTGGAAGAGCAGAAAATGGATTGGCAGTGACAGGCATAATTTCCTAGTGAAGAGGACTGAGAAGTTAAGGGAACTAATTATTAAAGTCAGGTGGAACGAGCAGCTAAAGGGCTTTGACATGGTGGAGGCCTGGGGACAATGATTTCAAATGAAGGAGAGGCGATGGGTTTAATATATCCAAGACAGCAGGAGAGCTGGGATAGCTTCACCTGGGAAATCACTCTGCAAGGTGTCTGCAAAGGGGGGCTGTGTTCAGAGATGGTTCCTGCAAAGCAAACCCAGGAGCTGGACCCTGGATCAGCTGCGGATGGAGAAGTCAGGGCATCTTGAAATTGCCAGTGGTTTATACACCTTCAAATTGTGTGTGGCTTCTACACCCTCAAATTAGGTTTGTTTTCAAATCACCTGTGTGCCCACCACCTGCTTCCAAAAGCTACCTGGGACCTTCTGCTCATGGGGCTACCTGGTAAATTCCTCCTCCCTGTCTGGCTTTCAGCAGTGATTTCAAAGCAAGGATGGGTTTAGACTTTGGCTGTTCCCTGGGGCTGGCTGGGGAAGCCCTGGGCTGGTGGGTGCCAGGCACAGCCCCAGCTGCATTGCAGAGCATGGCTGCAGGCAGTGCCTGCCTGATTTACTGGCACTCGATGGCCTCCTGCAAGTTTTCTGCAGGACTTTAAGGATTGTGCTGGATGCTGGGTGTTGCAGAGGGATTTTGCCTGTGTGACCCATTTAGCAGCCTGGCTGGGCACCTCTCCCTGCACAAGCTGCTGCAGCTCTCCAGTGCATTTGAAGATTTCAGGGGGAAAAGCAGCAGTTTTCTGGCAGCTGCCATGCTGAGGCTTTTCTTTCTTTGCTGTTCTCAATGCATCTTGGAGAAACTTTGGGCTCTACCTGTCAAAAGAGATGACAGATGATGCTGATACCCCGGTAATGGAGGCTTCAAAGACATGTGCCTGCTGCTCTCCTCCCTCAGCATCCCTGCTGTTCTGCTCCTGCCTTCCTCTCATTTTAGAAACTTTCCCTGTGGCAAAAGACCGCGTCACTTGTGTTAATTTTTAGGTTGATTTTTTAGTGGCCAAGGATGCTCCTGATCTGGGTAATGTGGCTGCCTGGAGACCATCTCCAGCCAGCTCATGGAAAACCTCTCTGACCAAGGAATGCATTTGGATTCCAGCTCCTACTGACACTTCTATATGTCTTCATCTAGATGAGTGACTTTGTGGGGAGCCTCTGTGTCTCTCCTCCCTAATGATTTCTTCCAGCTCCCCATGAAAAGCAGCGTGGGACCCCTGAGTGCAGCCAGCAGCGAGGCTGCACTGTCCAGCGCGGGATCCTTAAGGAGCTGCAGAGTGGTTGATAAATTAAAAGCCATTTCATTATAGGAAATGAATGTTTAATGAATGTGGGATGACGTCTAGACAGCCCTTCAGTTCCAGGCTCTCCGTGGTCTTGGAGGAAGGCTCAGCTGACACAGCCAGTGCTGGTTTAGAGCCAACAGGAAGGTTTGGCAAAGCTTCCGTGGCAGTGAGGTCCCTGCGCGGGACAGACGTCCTGGCACAGCAAGGATCTCCTGCCTCCTCGTCCTCTCGCTGCTGCTGTCCCTTGTGCCTCTCTGGGCAAAGCCCCAGGGAGCTGTGGCTGCAGAGGGACGTGCTGGCACAGGGGAGCCTTGGCCCCGTGCCTGGCCCCAGCCTGGAGCACACAGCCACACTCTTCTGCTCCGTGGCACCTTGCCCGGGGAGGTGGCAACATCCACAGAATGGGAAGGGACCTGCCAGCCTTTGCCATGTCATGGGCTCTGGAGTCGTGACACCAAACCTGAGCTGAGCTGGGGACAGCCTGGCGTGGTGGGGGTGAGGGGTTATGAGCCTTTGCATCCTGCCCCGATGAAATGCTTTATGGCTACAGAAATGGGATTTCAAATGCAGAAATTTGAATGTAGGTACCCAAAATATCCCCATGCCACACTGGAGGTGCTGACTGTCCCCTCCTGAAATGCTGCTGATGTCATAAGCCCTGGCTGCCTGCTGGGGGAGGCAGGAGCACATCAGCTCTCCTGCTCCCATCTCAGCACAGGGGCTGCTGGCTCACAGTGCGAGCCCTGTCTCAGGGCAACCACAGACAAGAATTTTGAGGCCTCTTGGCAGTGGCAAGGAGGCGGAAATAATGCACTTTGACTTCATCACGGGGCTGCCTGCTTGGCTCTGGGGGTGGCAGCAGGGGGCCAGCCTGAGGCTCTGCCATGCACAGCACAGGAGATGCTGGCAGGACCACTCTCTCCGTGGACCTGCTGTGCTTTGTCCCCTCTTTATCACCTGCAGTGCCCCCTATGTGGATTCCCAGGCCGAGGAAGTGCTTTGCTGCTCCTGGAGCTGGTGATGGGGGAAATGGTCTCCGGGACACCTCACTGTCCCTGTAAATCTGCAAGGATGGGGCTGATGCTGCAGGAGCTGGTACTGGGCACAGAGCTGTGCTCATGGCTCCCAGAGGAGCTTCTTGGCATCTCTGAGATGCTGGGTCCAGGGATTTCCTTTGTTTCTGGACCTACTCTGACCATCCCTGGATAAGCCCTAAGTTGTTGGAGAGCAGGAGAGGGCATCCAGGTGCTGTAGTGTGATGTCCCCAGGAATGGTGGCCTGGAGTGCCTAGGAGGGGAAAAAAAATAGAGGAAGATGTATTCTTGCTTTCCCATATGTGGGTAGCAGTACAGTCTCCTTCTCTGGGGCATTTCACTCCAGCTTTCACAAACCTGGGATTCCTGTGGGGACGGTGGACATCTACAAACCACGCTGCCAAAAGCCTGTCAGCTCGTGGCACGTCATATCCTGGTGTCTCAAGGGGTTGATGGCACCAGAGACACCACGTGAGGCTGATGGAACGGCTGGGTGTCAGCTTTTGATTTTTGTTGTTGTTGTTGGTGTTTTCAAACTCCTTCAGCTGTGTTTTCCCTCTCTGCTTTGTCAAGGCATTTCCATACAGGTGTGGGAGGCTGGGAGAGCCATGGGCATGGCACCACGCTGGGGAATTCAGCAGCAGGGCACTTTGTGGCGCTGGTCTCATGCCCTATCTCTACAATGGACGCGATGGAGAAACCAGTTTTGTTCAAAAGTGTAATAAGTTTTAGCCAGTCTCAGACATCCTAGAGCTGAACTCCTGTCTGAGCACTTGCTACCCAGAAAGCTTGGGCAGCATTCCTTTGGGAGTGAGGGATGTTTCCCCTCCAGCTTTGGCTGCAAAACTGCAGGGCAGAGCTCTGCCCACCCGGAAGGTCACGGCCACTCGGACTTGTTGGGCTCTGGGAGTGGGTCCTGCAAGACCTGCCTGGCTGCTGGGAACACAAGTGGCTGGATGTTCCTGAGGCACTGCCATATGGCAGCTGTGAAGCAACAGCTCGGCTCTGAGCTTTGCTAACGCCCAGAAATCCTCGCTGGAGCCGGCTCCGGCAGCGAGCCTGCGGTGAGCTGCTCTCGGCAGGAAGCAACAACCACAAAACTCTATATACAGCTCCTGACAGAGCTGCTGCTGCTGCTTTTGAGGTGGCAAAATGAAGGTGGTGTTTGCAAAGAATCTTGCATGTCACCTTCTTCTGGAGCCAAGGCTGACACAGAGAGGAAGATCTGGGCTCTGGCTCCTGGGCACTCTCCTGGGCCAAACACGAGTGCTGGCGTGGGGAAGAGGCCAAGGAAGTCTGGTTGCCTCCAAAGTTGTGTGTTGCTGGGGGCCACTGGGTCCCTTAGCCGTGGGGAGCAGCACACATGTCTGCAGTGCCAAGGGCTGTATTCTGCCTGCCTGGGTCTTGCTGGCTCTGCCTGTGTTTCACCTGAGTCTGTTTGGATGGTGGCATAGCTCAGAATAACAGAGGGGTCTGGGCTTTTTCCCTGGATGGAAGTTAAAAGAATTCTTAAAGCCATGGAGATGGCAGCTGTCACCCTCAGGGTGGCCTCAAAGGCCGGTTGTCCCCCCGTGGACGTGCAGCCCTTTGGCTCCTCCTGAAATCAGTCCCCACATCCCAAACTTTGCCACCAGCACCCTGACCCTGCCAGCCATTGGCACGGGCTCACCACGGGGCTGGGGCTGCTTTGAGGCTGCAGCCCCTCTGCCACTGCCCCTGGTGAATCCTGTGATCCTGCAGGACCTGCAGTCCCTGCCCCAGGCAGGTGAAGCCCTGCCTTGCCTCTCTGTGCTGTTTTGCAGAGTGGGGCTGACTACAGCTTCCTGGTGAGCCAGAACACAAAGCTCCTGAGCGCGCTGGAGGACCTGCGGCACCGCTGCTCCAGCCTGGCCCAGGAGAACAGCTTGCTGGTGAGCAGGAGGTGTGGTTGTGGGGTGCTCTGTGGGGAGGGAGTCCTGGACACAGAGAGCTGCTCTTGGCTGCCAGCTCTGTGAGATCACAGAATCACAGAACGTGCTGAGTGGGAAGGCGTCCACAAGAATCATCAAGTCCAACTCCTGGCCCTCACAGAACCATCCCCAAGAGTCACACCATGTGCAGGACTATTGTTCAAATGCTTCTTGAATTGACGGGATAGTCTGGGCAGTGCCAGGGGACAGAGGAGGTCTGGGTGCTCTCTGGGTCCCCTGGGTGCCTGGACCCTTCCCCGCAGTGCAGAGCAGGGCTGGCCATGGGAGAGGAAGTTGCTCTTGTTTCCTCTTTAACTGGAAAAGCAGAAACACTGATTCACTCAGCCTTGGCTCTGGGTGACAGTGCAGCACTGCCTCCTGCCCCCGTGAGAGCCCAGCACCAAGATCCTCCCCAGCTGCACCCCAGAGCCAATCCAGGCTGCCACAGCCTGGGCCATCTGCCTTCTGCACCCTCCCTCATCCCTGACTCCCCAGCTGGGCAGCCAGGATTCTCAGGAAAGAGGGGATGTTCCCCTCCTGCATCCTCCCTGGAGACCATCACCCTTTACCCAGCCCTGCAGCGTGGAGGTGCAGCCCAGCCATGCTGGGCAAACTTGATTGCTCAGTATTTCAGATTTATATCATCCCATTCAATCCCAATCAATGCCATCGCATATTTTAGATAATTTTCTTACACTAAAAGCATAAATTCAGCATGACCTGGACCCTGAGGGGTTACCCCTTATCAGTCATCTGGATTTTAGTGAAGCATAAGCCTGAGTGTCAAATTGGACTCTCAAAAATCAGTCTCAGCCTTCCAGCCCAGAAGCCCATGGTGCACTCTCACAGGGGGAGGGAAGGAAATAATCGTGAGGATCACTTGACCTGATGTTGCTGCTGATGTGGAAATACGGCACAACACATCTGGGTTTGACCTTGGGAGATGGAGCCATTGGCAAGTGGCAGCTTATTGGAACAGACAGATAACAAATAAAAGGGGATTAAGAGCAAACAGAATCAATAGGAAGAAAAAGGAAATTTGCTTTGCAAATATCATAAAGTCCTTTGTCGCCTTCTCCTGCTCATACTTTGGTGTCAGGACAGAAAGGACACAGATCAGCTTGTGGTGGTGCAGTACAAATCCTCAGGGATGTGTTGAGTCCTGTAATCCTGGGGAAATAAACTGGGAAGATTCTGGGAGAGAAAGCCCAAAGGGTGGGTGGCCAGGGTACCCTGATCCTGGAGACAGGTTGAATCCTAGAAGAGCCTGCAATGGGGATGTTGTGGATGGAGAGAGACCATGTGGGATGGTCTGGGGTGGGGTGAGAGGCGTCTCATGGGGACTGAGAGGTCACATTAACAAAAATACCAGGAAAGCACAGGACTGGAGAGGCAACAGAGATTGGTGTTCAATGGCTGGGGTAGTTCTAGGAGAACAGGGGCCTGTGTGCCCTACGCAGGTCAGGTAGAAGCAGGGATGTTGGCTCCTGAGCAAAGCCTTACCTCCAACTTCTCCTTCTGCTCTCCAGCGCAGGAGCTGCTTCCCCCAGACAGAGGAGAAGGTGAAGCACCTCAAGAGGAAGAACGCGGAGCTGGCGGTGATTGCCAAGCGCCTGGAGGAGAGAGCTCGGAAGCTCCAGGAGGCAAACCTCAAAGTGGTGGGTGCTGGGACCTAGCATGGCTGGGGAGCTGGGCTGGGAGAGCACCTCACCACCAGGACCTTTGGTTTTCTACTTCCATTGAGCTAGAAAGGCCTTTCCTTTCCCTTTTTCTTAAACCTACAGCAAACATGCTTTTCACGTCATAGCAGAGCAAGAATCACCAACCCAAGCCAGCTTCTCTACTCTTCTTGGGGGCTGATTTGAAGAATTTCTTCCTGATTGCTTTCTTACTGTAAGGTCATAGTTTAAAGTAATTAACTCGGGTTTCTTTGGGCAAGTCATGAAAATAATTCATCTGACTTCATCAGAAAGAAACAGGAAGGATTTGAATAAGAAAAGGAGTGTGGTGAAGCAAAACAGGAAGGGGTGAGAGACAGCTCTGTCCCATGCACATATTGCTGGAAATGCTGTGCAAACCACAGGACTTCTCCCTTTTCCAATCCAACAACAGCTTGTTGTGAACCCTGTGTGACATGGTGCAGCAGCAGTGGGAGGTGGCTGTAGGGTGTGGCAGCTAGGGCACACCTTCCAGAAGGAAAGCAGGGATTGGGATGGGGAATTAAAGTCATTTAGGGTAGAAAGGAGGAAGTGAAAGCTGTGCTGCTGGAGCAGGTAGGGGGATTTCCTGGCACTGCTGTCCTGTCTGTCCCCAGGCACTGTGCTGCCGGTCTGCCACTGGGTTTTGGAACTTGCTGGGGGACAGATGGGCTTGTCAGATACTGTTACAAAAAACCATTTGACACACTCTGCAGACCCTCCAGCACCTATGCAAATATTGCTTTATTTGTTTCCCCAGTGAAACTTTGGGGTGGGGACAGTTGAGGGCCTGTGCAAGTCCTGGAGAGCTGATGTGCTGGGCTCCTGTGCTGGTCCAGATGTCCTGACAGCAGCAAGTGCTGGGATGGCTGAGCCCTGTGCAGGCTGGACTGGAGCTAGACCCAGAGAAGGGGCCCTGAGGAGCCAGGGTTAACTTGGCACCAGCTCCCTCCAGTGCTTGGTACCCAGGCCCTGTGGAGCCAGCTTCTGCACGTACGTGAGAGGCTTGGGAAGACCTGGGGAAGAAAACTTCACACAGAGGATTCCTTCTGCCTGATCTGGCAGCAGAGGATCCCCTTCCCACATTGTCAGCTTTGTGCAGATGAAAATAGCTGGGCAGAGAGAGGCAGGGTAGGATAAACCCAGGGACTGGATGTATCCTCACTGCCCATAGGGCTGGGATGAGCAGGCAGTTTGAGCTGCCGCTTCATCCAAGTCTGTGGTGCTGGTACCCAGTGGGAGAGCCAGCTCCAGGCATGGGGACATCTCAGGGACACTGTGCTGGGCAGTCTCAGCTCCTGCCTGGGCAGAGCCTGTACTCAGCCAGCTGCCTGTCCCTGCCTGCCCCGCTCCCCATGAGCACACTGCCATCTCCACCTTATGCTTTCCTCCCTCCCAGGGAGCATGTGAACCCAAACTGCTTTTCTCCTTGTGCTCCCTGGCTGCGTTGGCCCTGGCTGGGCTCTCCTTAGCCTCTGCCTTTCCCTCTGTCTTCTGCCCATCCATGCTGAAGCTCTTTCCTACTAGAAACCCATGGAATCTCTGTTTCTCTTCCTGGTTTGGCCACCTCTCTCCTTGATCCCATGATCAAGGACATGATCCCATATTTGATCCCAGGCTCATCTTTCCTGCCATTCTCCCCTCCTCTCTGCTGCCTTCTCTTGTCTTTTTTTACCTCATCCTGTTTTTCTCTCCTTCCCCTCCCCACTTCTGTCCTGCCTGCAGCCCCTGTGTTGGCTGTACCTATTGAGTACCTTGTCCTTCCCACCTCTTCTTTGAGCCATTTTGCTATCCAGCCTTCCCTCTTCTATTCTTCCATAGGTCTGTCCTTTGGGGTCAGGCTGCATTTTCTGACAGTGCTCGCTGTGCTGGGTGATGGGGTGGTGATAATGGAACATGGTAAGGGGATGGTGGTTATTGGACACCAAAGGGTGATGGGGTGGTGGTTATCACACACCAACACACCTCACTGCTCTCTGGTGTAGGTAACTGCTCCGGTGCCTCTGAAGGGCTCCAGCCTGGAACTGTGCAAAAAAGCATTTGCCTGCCAGCGTGCCAAGGACCTGACAGAGCAAGCCAGTGCTCTCCTGGCAAAAGACAAGCAGATTGAAGCTCTGCAGCAGGAGTGCCGGGAACTGCAAGCTAAACTCTTGGCAGGGAAGGTGAGACACTTTGTGGGACATCACTCTGGGGCTGGGGACAAGCACAACAGCAGTGATGGAAGTGGTGTGAGGGGAATTAGTCTCAAGTGGAGGCTAAAAATAGGGGAGTAGATTTGATGTGTGAGCTGAATGGGGACACTTGGAGGAGTGTGTGGCAGAGAATGTCCAGATCTCTCCAGAAGAGCGTGTTGGGGGATACCCTGCTTGTCCCTCCATCAGTTCATGGATCTGAGCTGCCATTTCCAGCAATGACTAAAACTCCTTCCCTGGAAACCCCTGAGAAGCCACAGACACAGGGTGACTTTTCAAAGGGCTGAGCTGCAAGCAAGATGTAGAAGCAGGGCCTCCTTTAAAAGTGTTTCTTTGAGAAGCCAACCAGCATATTCCCAAAAACCAGTCTAGATCCCAAGCCTTGAGCCGCAGCTTTCTGAGGAGTCACAGCCACCATGAGACTGGTGATAATTCAGTGCCTCCTGACATGTTTCTGACGAAGGCTACAAATCACCAAGCAGGGCTGGGAGTTCATGAAACCATCCCCAGTGCTGGTGTCTGCTCCTGGGCTGGTGATCTCCATTCCCCTCAGTACCAGCACAGGCCATGCCAATATAAACGGTGGGATAAAGTGGTAATTCAGCTCATCCCAGAATCTAGGACTGGTCAGATGTGTTGCTCCTGCAAAGCTCTTCTCTGTGATGGCTCTGAAAGGAGCCTCTGCAGACAGCTGGGGCTGGTTCCCACTCAAGGTGGCTAAAGCAGCTTTGATTCCCAAACTGGATGCTTGCTGTTTAGGTCAGTTCAAATCTCCAGAGGACCTCAGTAACACTTGGGCCCATGCTGGTTTCCCCGTTTTGCTAATGCAAATGTGGTCAAGTGCTACCCTACCTCTCTGCCCCCAGCTTAGCTGAACACTTGCACTTCTATCTGTCCTACTTATGTGGTATTTAGGTGACAAATACTTCCTCACTGAAAACAGCTTTATTTTTGTCCCTGAGCTCCCCATATGTTCAGTTTAGCTACATGTTTGAAGGCAGATTCTCAGTCTTTCTCTAATATAGAACAATAGTGTGTATTTGGTGTTTGCACAGGGCTGCCTCATTGATCTTTCCTGGCATTAAACCACAGGACAAACTTATCCAGGTCTTTCTGTGCTCTACAGTGTCAGCAAGAAGTTTCCTTCCCATTCCTTTGATTTCTCACCTCAGACCCGCACAGAAAAGGGAACAGACCCTTTCCAAAGCACTCTGATTTTCCTAGCAGTGTGCTGGGCAACCTGAGCCAGCTAGGGACAGGAGAGTGACAGATTGCAAAGGAATGTGACAGAAGTGGGTGAGCAAGATTCATTCCTGGCTAAGAAAAAGCACATGGGTGCAACCCCCAGAGCTGACAAATTCAGTCACTGCCTTCCTAGGCTGACCTGGGTGACCTGGGTGACCACCCTGTCTCAAAAGGTGACCCTGTCTGTGGCACCAGCAACTGGGACATTGATCCCTGAGCAGGGAATCCACAGAAGAGTAATATAGACCATTCTGTCTGATCTTGTTTTTCCCATTTCTCTTCCAAGCAAACCACTCATTAAATTTTCATTTCTAGCTACTTAAAATTCCAAATCCCCCTAATCTGTCTGCAGCATGCAAAATGCATTATGCCAATGAAGGGTGTTTTATGCAGAGATATGATGTGCATGCTCAGAGTTTGTAACCAAATCAATTTTAATCTTGGGTATTTAAATCAGTAGAAATTTTTCAGTAGCTATGAAATGGATCCACTCAATTCCCTGTCAGTAGCAGGACTCACAACCTGCACCCTGGGCTGCAAATGCATTGGCCTTGTTTTGCAAAGCCAGACCTCTTAGGATGGAATAAAATAATTTCCTGAAACACAGCTCAGGAGCAGATCACTCACAAAGCCAGTGATCTGCTTCCAACCAAGCCCCAGCTCCAGCTAAATCCAGACCACAATTTCTTGGAGCATGGGCTCTTGGAAATGGAGGACTGGAGGAACAGCTGCAGAGGATGGGTATAATAGAAACTGAGGGGAGGACTGAGCTTTTTTTTTTACTCCCTTATTCCCCCAGGCTCCAGACGCTGTCTGTTGGGAATAGCTGCCTTTTTGTGGTGGGGGAAGGGAGATTTTATACATAGCCCCAGCCAATTTTGTTTAAAGAACTACAGCCCTGATAGCCTGAACATGGGACTGGCACAGAGGGAGCCCAGCTGCTCACTTCTTGAATCTACAATCAGTTCCCATTAATGCTGCCTCAGTTTCCCCCTTGCAGCATGAGAGTAACCATGGTTCTCTCCACAAATTGTATTTATAAAGCACACACTATTTTTAGGGCAAATAAGAAGCAAACAGGGAATCAGATTAAATTTGTCCTGGATACCAATTATGTCTTGAATTTTCTGGCTTAAGAGCTTTCCAGGGGAATGAGCAATGTCTCCTCCAACAGCAGATTTGTAAAGACAGGTTTTCATAATCTGATTTTGTATGTATGGACATGCAGCAGGTACATGTTTCTTCAGCTTCCTGAAATCTGGAAATCTCTGAAGAATCAAACAAGCTGGTGACATATTCTCCCTGGTTTTGTGAGTCAGATTGTGCTGGTTTCCTCCAAAAGCTGCTGTGTTTGGGTTGTGAGTGGATGGGAGAGACCCCTTGTACTACAGATAGGTGTCCATCACGCATATTGTCTTGAGAGGAGAGAGATCAAGAATGTTAGGAAACCAAGTATTATCGTGATGAAGAGCTGACCAAATCCCAGATGTTCTTCATTCCTGCAACCTCCCAAAGACCAGTGCTTGCCCACACCCACACCAGGGAGAAAAGAAAGCAGCGAGAGCTCTGGTTTGGCCGGGCTGTGAAATTTTATTATCCTGCCACGCTCCCTGCCGGCCTATGCTGAGATGGCCCAAGCTTGGAACAGCCTTGCACATCGTGCTGGGAGAGCTGCAGGAGCATTACAGGCTGGGCTTTATCTTCACAAGGAATAATGTATTTGCATAAAGGATGTAAAGTGAGTTTTGACACTTTGGAGACCCAGGAATCAGCCATGCATGTCTGCCACGCTAGCTGGGTTTTCCCAGCCTCTCCTCTTGGAGTTTGCATGTTGAATGTGTCATGTCCCACCTTTTGGAGCTTGTCAGTGCCATGGTGCCATGGCTGGTTTCCCACAGGACGACCCTCACTGCCTGAATGTCATCGAATTTGATCGCTTGCTGCGGGAATCCCAGCAAGAGGTGCTGCGGCTCCAGAGGCAGATTGCGCTCAAGAATTTCAAGGAGTGTCTGCGTTCCTCCAAAATGAGCTCAGGCAGCACTGTGCCCAGTGCTGCCACACGCCTGGGACCAACAAATTCCTGCCTCACAAGTGCACCTCGACTGAAGGAGGCCTTGGGAGACCCAGCACTGGGAGGGAGAGCTCGCAGAGAGGTGAGACAACTGGGTCATCAATTGGAAAGTTTGGCTATTTAATTACCTAGTTAATTGCTGTTCTTAGGGAATTTCACTTGGAGAAGGTGAGGGCTGTGATTCACATCTGCTGCAAATAGGCGCAGTGCTGGTTTCCAAAGAGACGGATTCCAGCACCAGGTCTCAGGGTGAGGAGAGATATGGATGCTGCTGGCAGCCCACACCAGCACAGGGACGCTGAGCCGTGCCTGGAGCTCAGCTGCTCATTTTCCCTAGCACACGGCTCCCATGCTGTGTTTTTCCACCTAGGAAACCAGGCAATGTTTCTTTATAGAATCATGGAATGGTTTGGATTGGAGGGATCTTAAAAGCACATCTCATTCCAGCCCTTGCCACGGGCAGGGACACTTTCCACCATCCCAGGCTGCTCCAAGCCCTGTCCAACCCGCCCTTGGGCACTGCCAGGGGTCCAGGGACAGCCCCAGCTGCTCTGGGCACCTGTGCCAGGCCCTCCCCACCCTCCCAGCCAGGAATTCCTTCCCAATATCCCATCTAACACTGCCCTCTGCCAGTGGAAACCTATTCCCGGTGTTCTGTCCCTCCAATCCTTTGTCCCAAATCCCTCTCCAGCTCTCCTGGAGCCCCGTTTAGGCCCTGGAAGGGTCTCTGAGGTCTCTCTGGAGCTTCTCCTTTCCAGGTGAAGATTCCCAGCTCTCCCAGCCTGGCTCCAGCGCAGAGGGGCTCCAGCCCTCGGAGCAGCTCCGGGGCCTGCTCTGGACTCGGTCCAGCATCGGGGTCCCTCCAGCTGGAGGCAGCTGCAGGGAGCAAAGGGGCGGAATTCGCCCTGGCCAGGTGCGGCCGGGGCCCCGCCCGGTGCGGCCGCGCTCGGAAGCGCCCGGGCCCCTCCGGCCGCAGTGGTTCAGCCCGGCAGATCCGGGGCCGCTTCAGGGCGCCGCCCCCGCCGCGGCCCCGCAGCCGACAGGTAAGGCCGGGCAGGGGCCGAGCGGGGCTGCACCGGGCCGGGGCTGGGCCGGGGGTGCCGCGGGGCCTCGGACGGGGCAGCGCCGCCATCGAGCAGGGCCGGGCTGCGCCGGGCGGCCCCGAGGCCTCGCCGGGAAGGGCCGGGCCGGGCCGGGGCCTCCGCGGGGCCGGGCCGCGGCTGCCGCTGCGCTCCCCGGGCCGCCGGGTCAGGGGTCTCCGAGCCGCGGGCTCCAGAGGACTTGGCTCCTGGAGGCTCTGCCGGTTTTCCCCCGTGTTTTCAGTGTGATAGAATCCCACATCCCCCGCTGGGAGATCGGGCTGCGCATCTTTCCCCCACCTTCCCTCCAGCTGCTGTCGTTGATTGCCCCTCGGCTCTTACAGCAGATGCATTGAATATTCATTCCTTGTCCATCTACTCCCATTCACTCCTGGATTTACAGACCCCTCTCCTTCAGCCTTTTTTTCTCTTTTGTTTCTTTCCAGCCTCTTCCATTATTCAGTGTTCATCATCTTTGTCTCCTTTGTGTGTTTTCTCTGTCAGTTTTGTGTTGGGGAAGCAGCGTGCAGCAGCATCCCGGACGCTGTGGCATTGATTTATATGATAGCATAATGAAGTTTTCTCTCCCTTTCCCAAAAGGAATGCTTTTGTCTAAGCACTCTTTATTAAACCGTTATTAGTCTCTGTAATCACTCAGTGTCACGAGGTCCTCATCACTGTTTGTCTCTGCTACATCAATACTTGCAGAGCACAGTTCCTTCTTCCTCATTTTCAGTCCTCTAATTTCTACTGAATATTTACCCAAGAGAAAACCCTCCCCTTGCCCAGTGGTGGCTCAGTAGAGCCTGTAGCTCTCAGGCTTTCAGCAGAAGAGCTATGAATATAGATGTAGATAAAACCTATGTCTTTCAAGTCAAAAATCATGTCCCAGATATAGTGCTTAGACAGTGCCCTAATGACTTGCTATATAGGGAGCTCAGACCTCATCCCATGGATCCCCCAGCACTGAAGGGGTGCAGAATGAAATGAGGAACCCCATGTCTAAGGAGAGGTCAGCTGAAGGCTAAGGCTGAGGTGGATTCATAAAGTCCTGCTGCTTCCTCATGTCTCTACTTACACAGTTATCACAATACAGGTGTCCAGCTTTCTCCATATCAAGTGGTGCAGCTCAGAGATCAGGAGTTCCCTGTGGAGCACTGTTCTCCTGCGTGGTACTGCCAGAGAAGTCCCTTTTCCTTTGGTGTGCTTTGTAGTCTCAGGATTTCCCTGAGCTCTCTTGCATCTCTTCTGCTTTCAGGTGGAGCCAGGTGTGCAACCACTGGGACCTGTGTCTGAAGGCCATGAAAATTTTCCTCCTAAAAATGCAGTAACAAACCAGGAGAGCATTAAACAGATACAGCAGCTGGTGAGTTATGAACCTGGTTTGGGGTTAGGAGTGTGCTACTTTCTTGTTTTTATTGTGGGTTTCACATGTGCAATCCAGGTAGAGATTTCAGGGACTAAAGTCATATTAGGTGCAGCTGCTCTGCAAAAGTGGGAAGTTTGGGGAATTGGTAGGAAAACACAGGCCATCTGCATGCAGAGTGTTGCTGGGTGGCAGCTCCAGGTGCTGGGCTGGCAGGAGAATATGTCACTCAAATGAGAGGGAAACAAAAAAGGTTCCGTGCTGTGTTTGGTTTAGATTTTTTTCAGCTAGGGACAGATGTGGATGAGGAGTGTGTCCCTTGTGTACCCCAGCAATTAAGACAGTGCACAGGGAGGTTTAGCAGCTCCTGTTGATCTGACAGGTAGTGAGTAGCTGCACATCAAGAGGATGTCTGTGCTCTGTTAGATGTCACTGGAATTAGAATAGGAGCTAAAATCATACAGCTGGTGTTTAAAGATGAATAGTTTATACAGCTCTGTTGTTCTGTCCCCCACACCTTGTCCTCTCTGCTGTTCTGTATAAATAGGAACAGTCCATGCATGTGGGAGCAGAACTGTTTCCAGGCTGAAGGCTTAGGGAAGAGAGGAATAGTTGTTTTATTTTTTGATTTTCCTAACTTTCAGAAAAATCTTCCTTGGCTTCTACATTGTTTAAGTTTGTCACAAAGATATTTTCATAAGAAAATAAAAATAACTAATGCACTGGGTCTGAGAGGCTGGGCTTGAATTTCATATGCATTGTAAGAGTGTGGGCTTGCTAATCTACTTCTGCTTGTTTCGTGCAGGAAGTTGAACTCAAGAAAAAGCGCAAAAAATGTGAAAACCTTGAGCATGAAGTGAGGAAAAAGCATAAAAGATGCAAAGAGCTAGTAAGTGTTCTTGTTGTCTACTGTTATGAGCATCATGGGAGAGGAGGAGCTAAGTTGTTGTGTGTCTCTTGGTTTCTCTTCAGTTCATCTTAATAAGGAATCACCAGTGTTTCTATTTATTTGAGCAGTGTCTCAAATTTGGGACTCCAGCCCTTAAGGCTGGGATTGTTTATTTAGTCTTTCAGCTACCTGTGGGCTGAATACAGCTACACAAATCACAAAATGAAATTCCATGGCCTTTGCTAGTTTGGGGAGATACTTAACTATTTTCACAGGTGTTGAAATGGTAATAACACCATCCCACTGTCATTTTCTTGTGCTTCTTGCTGGCTGAAATCCTGTTTAATTTCAGAGGGGGTTTCCAGCTCATAGCAGAACATCTGGATTTCTCCCTTCTGTTTCTGCTTTGTTTTGCTCAAGAGATCACACACGGGTTTGGGTTGGAAGAGACATTAAAGGTCATCCAGGTCCAACCCCGTTGTCTGGTCCAGGGCTGGGTTCTGTTTGAGCAGTGCTGCTCACTGTTGCTTCCCAGCCCTTGAGCAGTGTTTCACCAGCATCCTGCACCATCAGGAAAGAGGAGCAGTGGAGCTTCTCTGCAGGATAATCTGGGGGAGTTAGAGGGTCATGGTGTAATTCCTGCTCTTTCTGGACAGGAGATCCAGCTGCAGGAGGTGCAGAGTGAAAATGCACGACTGGCCGAAGAGAACTTGCAGCTGAATGAGAAGGCTGGGTGGGCAGGACAGGTAAAAGCAGTGTCTTTGTCAGGTTGGCAGCATTGGCTTTTGCAGAACTCTCTGAGAACAGGCTGTTCTCAAGTTTCCAGCTCAGTAATGGTCATGTGCTGATCTGGGCTTCTGTTCCCAGGATCTTCCCTGGACAAATCTAATGCACAAGAGTTAGAAAGTCATTTGTCAGTCCCATGTGTCAATTTGCCACCATGCATAAGGCTTCCTACATATTTAATAACTGCTGTACATGGAAATGTTTGTCTTTGCTTGTGTTGCTGATAGTCACCAAGCCATAGTGCACCCTGGAACCAAAAATTCCTTGTGCTAAATGGAGGAGGCAAAGATAATTTCAGCATGCTGCTGAATTTTCTGTACTGTTCTCTGTGTTTAATCCTACCATGTAGGATTAAAAATACTTAGAGATACTGTGCTTGGTTTTTTTATCTCTTTGTTCTGTAGCCTGTTCCCATCCCAGCCTCTTCCTCCTTGCAAAAGGGAGGACAGATGAATCTAGGGAGAGAAGCAGTGTGCAAATAAAGTGTTACACATTGAGGCCTGGGACAAATGCTCATTTATTTGTTTTAAGTGAAAACCTGTAGGAGAGGAGGTTCCTGATTTTGGTATCACTGTCAACAGAAAGCACAGAAATAGACTGGCCTCTGTTGTTTTTACAAGGAATATCTTTGGCTGCTTGTGCTCACTGAAAATCCTTTCCCTTCAGGTTGAATCTGAGAATGCTGACCTGAAACTGCAGGTTGTTTTAGTGACTAAGGAACGGGATTCAGTAATTCAGACAAATCAAGGACTCCAAACCAAGCTGGAGAATCTAGAGCAGGTGCTGAAGGTCAGTAGGATCCACATGGCTGGAAG